ATCCAAAGTGGCCTAAGAAGAGTAGCTCTAAAAGGAATCCTAGTACTGGGAAGCAGATAGAAGGGGTAGGTTTCCAGGTAATGTAGCAGGAGAGACTGAGCCTCCTTCCCCACAGTCCCATCATGTGTGCTTGCTCCTCTGTCACATCCTTGGCCTCTGATTTCCACCCCTTCCTTCCTCTCCTGATCTGTTCATGTCCCTTTCCCAGGACCTCCTTCATTTCCTCTCGGGCCTCCAAGGTGTAGTTTACAGAGTGACTGAGCAGTGACCCTTGCTGATCCTCTGTCCCTCTCATCCCCCTCCCTCCTCTGCAGTGTAAGCACAGCCAGGGATGGGCTGACTGTGGAACCTCTGACCCATGTCCTCTCCAGTCCCCAGCTCATCTCCTGCTGGCATCCCTAGGGCCTATGGTTGGCCTTTGACAAAGCCATATGGAAAAGCCATTTAGTTCTAGGAGCATCTGTTTCCTCTGCGCCAGCCCAGCTGTCCCCATCCTTCCACACTCTGTTTCTCTAAAACCGGAGGATTTCAGAATCAGACTCAAAAATGGTTGTGACAGGCTGGAGAGTTGAGTTAAAACCCGCAGCACAAGAGGGGCGCCCACATGTAGCTCACAGTGGCAGAGAGTTGGCACAAGACAACAGCCATTCTGCTCTGAGTTTAGCAGATATCTGCAGTCTGATGTGGCCACTGGTTAGAAAGAGAGGCAGAGTCGAAAACCCAGGCACCTGTTCCAGTCAGACCACTAACTAGTCAGCAGCCAGAGAGGCACACGGAGCTGCCATTTCCTCTCAGTAAGATCGGCCCAGCCTTCCTCATGGCCTAGTGTGAGAGCCTAAGGAAGCAGTACAGCCATCAATGTCCTCATACATAAACACTAACTAGACAGGAAAACAAAACCCTGACATAGTATATATGACTGGGAAAGATTTTGAATATTCCTGTCAGAAAAACAGGAACTTCTTTTCCACAGGCCCCTGGCAAGACAGAGTGCACCACAGCCTCAGAATGGACAGAACCAAACTGAAGAATATCTGGAGTTGAGAAATATGGCAAAAATCAAGTCATTAGGAGAAAAGTGGAAAGAATTTAAGCTTGAATATAAAACATGCCTAGCAAAACTTTCTCGTGGAGCTCAGGTGTTCAACATATGATAGCTATTATTATTTAGGCACAGAAGGGACGGGACAGACGTGCTGTTTCAACTGGTGAGTGACTTTTGTTAGGAAGAACAATGGGAATAATTTTGCCAAGCTTTAGTGGAAAAAACTCAGTCCAAGGGTAGATGTTGCCAGGCAGAAAATTTCACTTTCACCCAGAGAAAGAGTAAGAAGCAGCGCTTAGTGAGTGCAAACCTGAAGAGAAAGTTGTTGTTATTCTCACATTGAGGATGAGACCATGAAACCTGAGGGGTAAGTTGCCTCTCCAGTGTCATGTAGTTTCTCACCCAGTGTTCCCACTAGGAGAAGCCACAGGTCCATCTCTCCAGAAGGTTGTCCAGGGGGTCCTGTGCCCTAAAGTAGACCTCGCAAACCCATTTAGAGTTCAGCCGGGTGTTCTGAAACTTTCCCTCAAACTCCTCAAAATTCAGGGTCCTACAGTCTGTCCTTCTAACCTCTCTATTTCTGAGTTTAGCTGAAGGACCACTTCAGGACTCAATCTCCTCTCCTTCCCTCTGGGAAGTTACAGGGGGTTTCCTTGAGTTTGGAGATAGGTCAGACAGGGTACCTATGATGACACAATCTCCTTTCATTCACAATAAGTGCAGGCATAGGAGCCCTGGAGACCCAGGCAGCCTGTAGGGGGAAGTCCCCCAGGGGGGAGTGCAGAGAACTTGAATAGATGGAGAAGATCAAAACCTGGAAGCTGGCTGCTTCGTCTGCCCCCCGGTGCTTGGACATGGAACATGTCCACAGCAAAGCACAGCCCCAGGTCCCATGGCGTGGCTGCAGCTCCTCGAAAGAAAGGGAAGGGAGAAAGGGAGAAAGCCTATCAGATGCAGCACGTTGCCTTGCACTTAATAGATACTCAAGAAATGTTTGTCAAATTCATTCTTCAGATCCAGGGGCATAAGTACTTTAGACAGGAACTAAAAATATTGTCTTAGTCACTTTCTCATAGCTGGCATAAAATACCTAACACCTGCAACTTAAAGGAGGATAGATTTATTCTGGCTCCCAGTTTCAGAACCTTGCTAGGCAGGCTCAAATACAAAAAACAGCATGGTGGGAGGGCTTGGGTGAAAGAAAACTGCTCATGTCGTGGCGGCCAAGAGGCAGAGAAAGGAGCTGGGGAGGGAGATACACCCTTCAGGTCACGCCTTTAGGGACTTACCTCCCCCATCCATGCCCACCTCCTAAGAGCAAGTCAGTTTGGTCCCCCCAAGTTCCAATACTCTTCCAAAAGCCCTGTCTATGAACACAGGAGGCCTCTGGGGGGTCATTCTTCAAATAAACCATAATCTCATTTATTGCTCTCAAGAAAACTATTTTAAATGAAGAAACTGAAGCCCAGAGAGGGTAGGTAATGTGTCAGGATTACACAGCAGTGAGGAGGCAAAGCTATGTCCAAAGCCTCTGCTCTCATCTCTTCCAGCAAGGAAACAGCTTGCCTTGCCTCTCCCAAGTCTTGAGCTTCTGCAACAGCAGAGACAGCAGCTCTGAGCCTGCTTTGTCAATCCTATCGTATCCTCTCCATCTTCTCTTCCAGATTGGGGCCATGCAGGGCTCTGCCCTAGGCTCCAGGGCCTGGCACAGCCAGGGAACAGAACAGAAATATAGTTTACCTTTGAGGTGGTTAATTGTGTGTCCACTTGATTGCCACAAGGTGCTCAGATGTATTTCACCAAACATTATTCCAGGCAATTTGCAGGAGTATTTGGGGACGAGATTAACATGTGAGTTGATAGAATCAGTAAAGCAGATGGCCACTCAACCTGGGCCTCACCCAGCCAGTTGAAGGTTCGAATAGAGTGAAGAGACTAAGCAAGAGAGAACACCTTGCCTCTCACTTCCTGCTTATCTGAGCTGAAACACCCATCTTTCCTACCTTTGGACTCAGAACCAGCTCTTCTGGGTCTCTTCTGTCTGCAGATTTGGGAATTTGTCAGCCTCCACAGCCACATGAACAAATTCCTTATACTAAATCTCCTTCTAGGGAACTGAGGATCAATCGGTGGCAGAGAACTTGCTTAGCATGCACAAGGCCCTGTGTTCAAACTCTAGAACCAGGAAGTAAAAAAATAAAATAAATAAATCTCTTTCTATATCAAAATGTATCTAATTGGTTGGGTTTCTCTGGAGAACTCTGCTCTGATGAACACACCACCTGTCCCTCCTAATGAGAAAAAGTACTATAAAGGGTCCATCCAAAGTCTTCTGAGACCCAGATTCCCCTAGATTAAAGAAACGTTGGTAGAGATAATTCAGCATGCAGCATAGACTATCTTCTGGACCTGGATGGACCCGTGCTGTGGCCCAGAGCATCTTCTTAAAAGCTTTTCAGATTCACACTGCCTGATCTTGCACATTCTCTCCAGAGGTAGGGACTGCTGAACACTCTGAGATAGATGGCAGTGCCGAATCCTCATTCTTTCCCCCAGAGGAACATCTAATGAAATTCTGAGGACATTCACAGTCCTGTAACACAGGGCTCAAAACGGGAGTGGTTCGTATGAAATGGTCCTTAGGATCAGGCAAACCTGTCTTCCTCACTACACGAGACAGTCCCTTGACTCTCAGGGACACCTGCTATTCTGCTGCACAGCCAAGTTGGGGGAATAGGGAATAAAGACCCTGGGGGAACAGGGTTGGCTATAGGCTGGATGAAGGGAACATGGAGTCTGTCCACAAGGCCACTGTCTCTGGGCCCAGGAGAGCACACCTGGAAATCAGCTCAGACAGCTCTGCCCTGGCTGAGCCCCAGCGAGCCCAAAAATGAGACAACAGACTCCCCTTCTCAGTGCGGTCCAGGCATCTCACCACCACCCTTAGCCCTGACACCACAGGATGGAAAAATCTGACTCTAGGGTGTCATTCAAAGAAAACAAGGGCAGCAGGTTATGGTGGGAGAGACAGACAGACAGTACAAGCCAGAGAGCCCCTCATAGCAGAAATACTAGCTTTGTTCCAGCACCAGACGCCAGAGTTTGTTGCGCAAATCTAGCTAAAAGCATGAATTATGTGCTTACTCCGTGCTGGGCACTGTTCACCTGTATGTGTGTGGGGGAGTACGTGTGCACACATGTAAATTATATCAAGCATACATACATACATGTGTGCCAATTACATCAAGTCGTACAAAAAACCCTAAAACTTGATAAAGAGTGACCCCTGCCCAAGTCAAGAAATAGATGTTACCAGCATCCAAAAAGTCCCTGTATACTTATATAAATATTTTCATTTAATAGTCAAAATAATCTTGACAATAGAGAAGGTGTAATTTCATTTACATAACTGTGAAGAAACCAGGGCTCGGCAAGGCTGGGAAATTCCCTAAAGTTCCTGAGCTGTTTGCACAGTCCCCTCCATCTCTTCAACAGCTATTTCCATGTGAGGACAACCCACGAGGAGATAAAGGGCACTTGCAGGTGTGTGGGGCCTCAGGTCCCTTCGTCAGGAACCCTGTTGGGCAGCTGGTTGGACTCGATAATGATAGGGGCTGCTGTCAACTCCATGTCACAGTTATATAGGTGGCTCTCCAATCACACTATCTTTGCAATGTCATTGTAGGGAGCCCACAGTCCTGTCCCCGGGTCTGCCCCCACCAGACCCTGTCCCGCCCCAACTCTGCATTATGTATAGAGTGAATTGTGTGGTAAATAATTCATGAGTAATCTGGGCAATAAGGGTAACAGGAGAGCAAAGGTATAGATATCAGAAAGGCAGAGAGATTGGCAACCTGAGCCAGACCCCCATCTTCCCAGGGCTGGCTATGCTCTGGGCAGAGGGGCCCATGAGTTAGGCAGGAGTCTCAGGTGGACGCCAAAGGGAGATGAGGCCATGGTAGGTCAGAGGGCCCAGCACAGACCATTCGGCCTCCCACTGCTGATAGACCTCTGCCTTCTGCATCTAGGAGCCTCAGGTGAGTGATACTCAGACCCCCTCAAACCCATTTGTCACTCACGTCCCATTATTTCTTCCCGTTCTTCCTTGGGATTTTCCTTTTGCCCTTTCACATTCATTCAATGAAATCCACTAGCGCAGTTAATCCAATAGACATTTAACCAGCATGCAGTGAACTACTCTGTGCCAGCTGGATAACAACAGCCTGCACGAACTTAAAGAAGACAAGAGTTACCCTGAGGGCTACTGCCAGGTTGTAGTTTACAGTCAGACCTGGGTCTCATAAAGTCCCCTGCCTTTGAGGGAGCCGAGAGCAGCTCAGAGACGCTCGCAGTAGCCTAGGTGAAACCTGTCAGCTTGGGCCAGAGTGACGCCCATGGTGTTGGGAGGAATCTGTTTCTCGGTATTTTTCTTCTGGAGCGATAGAACATCAGAATTGTGCCTTAATCTTTCCCCACCAACTCCACACCTGACATCTCCTCTTCTTCTGGAGAAGCTAATAGTAACAGGGGTGTCTGAGATTGGGAGTTAGACAGGTTCCAAGCCCAGCTCTACCATTCACTCTGTGCTCTTGGGCTACAGAGTCTCAGCTCCTCAGTCCCATTGGAAGTTATTAGCTATCTCAGGGTACTGTGAGAAGTTAGGCTGATAGGTCATGCCTGTGAAGAGACAGGTTTGGGGGGCCTGGCAGGAAGGCCACAGGCAGTCAGGAGAGCTTAAGTGAATTGCTTCTGTGGTCTGCTTGTCCTCCTGGGCACTTATTTGCAGGCAACCTGCTGAGGATCTCTTCACCTTATAGAATGCAGAGCCACTGCTAAGAATGAGGGCACAAGTTAAGTGACTTACCCACAGGGATTATTTATGTCAGGCTTCTGGTTGACTGAGAGCTCCATGAGAGCAGGGTTGGGGGCTCACTGGTCCTTGTGCTCTGGATCTCCTCCATTAGTTGACACTTAGCTGATACAGGCTGTTGTCCTCTTTCCCTTGGCTGCAATCAGACTGGAACAAGGTGGACTCCTGCTACCAGAGTTAAGGCAAAAGCCCTGGCTCTGAGTGTTCTCAACAGACCAGGCTCAGCCGCTCATCCCAGAAAGTCAATCCAAGAAACAAGACAAGGTAGTGAAAATTATTCTCAGTAGGACTGCACAAGGAAGAACAAAGGCCTAGTGATTTAAAATGTATCTTCAGTGTGCGTATAGAAGTCTCACAGTTATATAGGAAAAAAGAATCAAGGCAAGGGTTGGGGACTTCCATGGCCAGCAGTGCAAGCTGTCTTGGTCTGGCTGTGATATGGTTGATAATTATCTGAGGACCAGCAATACAGAGGTCTGTTGGTCCCAAGAATGTCACTGTTGCTGCAGGGGAGGGCTGGTTTTGATCCTCTATCATAAGGTATTCATCTATCACGTGTTTTGTTCCTGGAATCCAAGGTAACTATAGGAGGGAATGCCCCAGGAGAACACAGATGGGAAGCAAGGCAAGACGGAGTGGAAAAAATAAAATGTCAGGGACTAGACCCCCTTCCAGCTGGCTCTGGAACCCTCCTGGAATCCTTACAAAGACCTCCAGACCCTGGTGGTCCAATAGCATGTGGCTGTCCTGAACCTCTAGGGTCAGCATTGTCATTAAGCTAGTCATCAGACAGATCTTAAGTGCTTGTTAAAAATACAAATTCCGGGCTCTGACCACTCCACATCCTGGGGTATTCTGACACAGTAGTCTGAGGTGAGACCCACAAATTTGCACTTTGATTAGATGTTGCAGTGACCTATGAGGAGTGGGGTCTGCTCTAGCCCATTCTCCATTCTCCATCAACCTTCCTTCAGTGCATCTAAACAGGATAACCCCTGAGGCTGCCTCAGGGACCACCTTCTGCCCACCAACTCCAAAAGTGCTGGTACTGTCTTGCTGAACCCTGGGCTCCTGGGACTGCAGAACAATCAACAGAGGCTCTGAGCAGGAGGACCCAGAGCAGTCTGGATGTCCCACATTGCTCTTTCTCTCTCCAGGCAAGCCCTACCCAACCCCCCAAACCCCCAAGGGGGAGGCCCTGTCCCTCCAAGGAGTTAGGGGCGGCTCTGTGGAGCTGGCCTGTGGCTCGGGGCCTGCTCCCTTGGTGGTCCTCTGGAGCTTCACCCCGCTGGGTGCCGTGGTTCCTCTGCCTGTGGCTGTCACCGATGGAGCTTCATCCAAGGTGGAGGCTGAGGCTGAGGCTCTGGGAGTTGTGAATCTGCAGAACAGCAGCCTGGTGCTCAGGGAGCTCAGGGAGGGTGCCCGTGGCCACTTCCTATGCCAGGCTCTGCATGTGTCTGGTGATGAGCTCCACATCAGCTATTCCTACCTCACGCTGGCCGTGCTGGGTAAGGTGACTTGCCAAGGATACACCTGGACTCAAGCTGATCTGCATGTTGCTTGAGTCTCTTTGCATGTACTTCCCTGTCTCTTTACATGTGCTAGGCTTACATTTTTTTTGGGGGGGGCACCCTCCAGGGACTGAGAAAACCTAAGGTTGCAAGGGAGGGATATCTAGAGCCCAGTGAGCAGAGAAGCCACAGCCAGCAGGTATGGGGCCACTGGGTATAGCCAGGCACAGCCAGTGTCTGCAAACCCAGGGTCCCTCCCTTTATCCCTCCCTGGTCAGTGCCTGTATCCAAGCCTCGGGTGCGGCTGAGTGACCCGTCCCCGGTGGAAGGAGCCTCTGTGGTGGCCACGTGTGCAGTGCGGGAGGGCACAGAGCCCGTGACCTTTGCTTGGCAGCATCAGGTACCCCACAGCTCTGGGGAGGTCCTGGTGGGGGTCACAGAGCCGCTGCTCTGGCTGGACCCGGTCAACCGGACACACCTGGGCTGGTATGTGTGCAGCGCCTACAATGCTGTCAACGGGCTGAGCAGTGATGGAGTCTTCCTGGATGTTGTCTGTGAGTTGGGTTGGGAGTGTGGGCACCCACCTTCCCACACGTTTGGCCCCTACCAAACCTCAGCACTCCCCAAATCCCTTCACTGCAGGAGTTGCCCCTGTCCTCTATGAGACTCCAACAGGCAAGAGTAGCAGGATGCTGCTGAGGACATGAGTGCCAAACACGGCTCTAGTACCAGGGTTTCTTCCATTTTAAGTCTTGAGCTCCTCTCCCCAGGAAAAGGCACACACACTCATCTTCGCAATTCTAGTCATGACTTTGGAGTGGCCCAGAAGTCAGACTTTGGGTTGTGCATGTAGCTGTCTAAGGGTTTGATACAACCATGGAAAAACTGGGAGGAGAACCACAACGGGCAGAGAGGGCAGCAATCTGGTCCAAAGGCTGAGGTTTTTCATCTTTCATGGGAAAGGAGAAGATGTGGATGGTCTAGACCAGGCATGGTGAACCTTTTATTTATTTGTTTAATTAATTAACCTTTTTTTGGTACCAGGATCAAATTTGTGACCTTGAGCTTGCGAGGCAGGTGGCAGAACCACTGAGCTAAATCTCTGGCCCAAACCTCTTAGAGATTAAGTACCCAAACTGCAACCCCAAACCCACTTATCTTTCCCAAAGTGCCAACACTGCCCCTATGTGCACTGTTATTCAGTGCTTGGCTGCTGGGGAGATGCCGGGGCGACTTGGCTCACGAGCCAACAGAGAGGGCTCTGCGCACTCGCTGCAGCACCCGTGCCTTAGCTACATCACCACAGGTCTAGACTGCAGAGTTCACTGCCTAACACTGCAGCCCCATGAGTCTCTGAGCCCTCAGATACAGTTAACCCACACTGAGCTGTGCTGTGAATGCAAAATGCACAATTATGAACACATAGTCTGAAATGCAAATCACTAGCTCTTACATTGATTATATAGAAATAATATTCTGGATATATTTGGATGACTGAATGGAGCACTAAAGTGAAAACCTACTGATGTTTTTGTTGTTTGGTTGGACTTCATTGTCTTTGTTAAGATTTGGCTACTAGAAAATTAAAAAGAACACCTGTGGCCCGCATGCATGTATGGGCAGCATGGGTCTTGTGCACTGGTTTTAAGGAACAAGAGCTAATGGTGCCCTATTTAGTTGGTGGGAATTGTAAACTGAGGACTGTGGGAGAGAGTGGGAAGGAGACAGGAGCAGAAGGATGCGGGCAGGGAATGCAGTCCCCATGGGAGGGAGGGAGATGTTCAGATGTAGAGAAATGGAGGGTGGAAAGCAGGAGAGAGGGGAGGCAGGCACCCTGGTTAGTGAGGAGGCTGGCAGTGCGGTTATGCTCAGTGTGTTGCCCACTTTGTCATTTCTTTTCTCTGCCCTCTAGACAGACCGATAATCCCAGTCCCAAGTGATGTGTCGAGGTTGGCCACCCTTCCTCTCCTCTGTCTGCCTAGCTCTTTTATGCCCCTTACCTCAGCCCAAACCTGCAGTCCCCCAAGGAAGCCCCCAGAGTCAGAGCTTGCTCCTGAGCCTTGCCACACAGAGTGCCCACCAGAGTGGTCAGCAGTCCCGACCACCTGCACTGTCCTGTGGCCCCGAAACTCTAAAAAACTGGAGGGTTGGCATGGAGCTGGTGTGCCCCACATGCTCACGGGAGGGAGGAAGAAATCCAGCCATGAGCATGTGGGTGAATGAGGGGGTGAAAACTGTGGAGCTGTGACTGGCCCCCCTTGCTCTCCAGATGGCCCGGATAAGCCTGTGATCACTGTGGAGCCCCTGGGATTCGCAGAGAAGGGGTTTTGGGCCAGTGAGAAGGAGGAGGTGACCCTGAGCTGCCTGGCTGCCTCCAACCCTCCTAGTCACTATGTGTGGCTCCATGATGACACTCAAGTCTGCACTGGTCCCACCTATGTCATTGCCAGTGCCAGCCGTGCCCACACAGGCCTATACACCTGCCTGGCCCACAACAGCTACCTGGACACTCGCACCCAGAGCTCTGTCCAGCTCACTGTCTACTGTGAGTGTGTAGGTGGGGGCTGACCTTGGTGGGAGCACAGACCTGTGTGCTGGTGACCCCCATCACCCTGTGGAGAATGATATAGAAGTTGGCAGCAATGGGGTGGGAGTGTATCTAGGGAACCAAGTAGAGCTTTGGGGACTTCTGTCCAGCTCACTGTCTACTGTGAGTGTGTAGGTGGGGGCTGACCTTGGTGGGAGCACAGACTTGTGTGCTGGTGACCCCCATCACCCTGTGGAGAATGGTATAGAAGTTGGCAGCAATGGGGTGGGAGTGTATCTAGGGAACCAAGTAGAGCTTTGGGGACAGGGGAAGGGGTGGGGAGGACCCCTAACCTTTCATAGCTCCATCCCAAAGTGATGATTCCCATAGTCCTAGGACCCGAACTGAGGCACAGAGAAGGACAGGGCAACAGCAGGAGCCCAGGTGCCCAGGGTAACTTGCTCACCCTTTAGCCCTCTGCCCTTAACCTGAGGCCTCAGCCTTTTTCTTACCAGCCTCTCAGAGTGACTCAAATCTTTCCCCACTTGGCAACTTCTCATTGCTTCCCCCTTTGGCTGGGCTGCAGAGCATGGCTGTGGCACCTGCTCCAGCCCCTCCTTACCCACCTCCCTCCTAGATCCCCCTATGGGGCAGCCCTCCTGCGCTGTGCTGCCCACTCTTTCGGCTGTGACTCTGTTCTGCACCTGGCCTGGGGGGCTCCCCACTGCCCAGCTGCAGTGGGAGGGGCCCCACGGGACTGGCCCTGCTGCCTCCAGCAATGCCACCTGGACTCATGCAGCCACTGGGCTCCCCAACGGCAGTGTCTTTACCTGCACCGGCCAGCACCCGGCCCTGGCACTCCCCACCATCTGCAGGACCACAATCTGTAAGTGGGCACGGACAGCACCAAGGTGCTGACATTCCAGGCTGAGTGTGGGTCGGGATCAGAGCATTCAGAGGGGCTCCAGACTGCAGGCTCCAGGATTTGCCCCCAAAGGAGAGGCAGGCAGCACTCAGTGCTCAGCTGCAACATCACTGCTTCTCATCCGGGCCAAGCTGTGTCCTTCTTACCTGTGGGCTTGAAGCCTATGACCTCTCTTCCCTGTCCCCCACTCCATGGCCAGCAGGCACCCACCAATCTTCCACTCTGCTTCTGCTGGATTGCGTGTTGATCTGGAAATGCGCCTTCACATTCTCTCTACCAAATGTGCTCTTCGGCCGCCTCTCAGCTGGGAAGGGACCACCATGGTCAAGACAGATTTTGTATGTCCTTCTGTCTACAAAACCCTCCTCCTTGCAGCCTTTGAGAGCTCTTCAGCATTTCTACATATACTCTAGCACTCATCTAACTATATAATAGTTGTTGGCTTAGTGTCTGTTCCCACTATTGCCCTGCCACATGGTCAGCCCTTGATAAAGGATACAAACGTGAATAGAAGAGTGACAGAGTCATGGGAGTAAGTGAATGAAGGAATAAATGAAGGAGGGAGGGGATGGGTGGGCTGATCTGAGCCACCACTTCTTTCTAGGGGAGCCTCCTCAGAGCCCTACCTGCCGGATCTCAGCCACAGTAGATGATCAGTTCATCATGCTGAGCTGCGAGTGGCCTGGAGGGACGCCCCCTGCTGCACTGCGCTGGTTCGAGGACAAGCAGCAGCAGGCCTTGGGCAGCAGCAGCTCTTCCCCAGCCATCCATGTGCTGCAGGCCCAGGGCGACCTGGCTGGCAGAGAGTTCACCTGCCAGGGCTCTCACCCACTCAGGACCCCTGCTGTCCAGTGCCGGCTCCAGCTGGGTGAGAAGGGGCCAGCCTCTGGGTTTCTGGTAGGGCAAGAGAATTGCCCCTTTGGAACCAGGCTGAGGGCTCTGGAGGGTATAACTGTGCTGGAATGGAAAGTGAGTCAGGAGAGAGGCTGATTCACTTCTCTTCCAAGGTCTCAAGCTTTTGTTTGTTTGTTTGTTTTTAAACCATAAAGTGAAAGAGGTTTGTGTAGGTCAGTGTTGTCCAATAGAATATAATGCAAGCTGTATGTGTAATTTAAATGTTTCTAGCTGCCTAATTTTAAAGAGTAAGATAAAACAGGTGAAATATTCCACTTCATTCAATATATCCAATGTACTACCATTTCAATATGTAATAACAATAAATTATTTGTGAGCTATTTTACATTTTTTCACCCTGTCTTGAAAATCTAGTGCATTTACAATAATAATTTACAATAATAATAATACATCTCAATGCGACTTGCCATACTGCAAGAGCTCACTGGTCACACATGGCCAGTGTTGGACAGCAGCAATCCACAGGAGTGGGGGAGGCTACTGGCATTCCTCATTTGCATATATTTGCATAAGAAAGATACTCAATTATATTCTTGATTTGCATGAGTGTTTCTAGTGTCAAAGGTCTGTCTCTACATCTCTCATCCCCTTTATTTGCTTAACCATGGTCTGGTTCTTCTGTCACTCTTCATCTGGTCTGCTTCTCTATTAACAACTGAAGACAAAATAATTAAAAACCGAAATCTTAAAATGTGAGAAGAACAGTAGAACTGTCACATCCTACAGTCCTTGCAAAATGATTTACTTCTTAGTCTCTGAAGGCTTTGTGACTAGCACATGTTGAGGGACTCTACGGAGGTCTTTAACACAAAATATTTCTTTCCCTATTACTCAGTCTTGAGACCGGAAATTCCGTCATAGGAAATTCATTGACACCTGAGAGGCTGGGTCTTTAATAAGAGTCAGTCCATAAAAACAGCACCTACTACAGCCTGGCACTATGCTTGAAGCCAGCCAGGAGGTGGTGGGCCACCAGGGGTAAGGAGGCCCAGGCCAGGTGCTGCAGAAAGTGGGGGAGAGGGGTTTGCAGAGAGGCACAAGGCAGAACTCCTACCTGCAAGAGCAGGGTTTGGGGTAGGGTAAGGGAGAAGCACAAAGGACTGCTGTTAGCAGCTTTAGCAGCAAACCCTGGAGCAGACTGCGACCCAACTTGGAATGGAATGGAGTCTGAACCTGAGGGAAGAGCGACCTGGAACAAGCTTCATAGGTCCCGATCTCCTCTCCTCTTTAGCTCTCCATCCCCTCCACTACCGGCCAGCACCTTCCCTCAAGCCTTTCTACTAGCTGGGGAAATTCATCTGCTCCAGCCTCAACTTTTCTGTCCCCACAGAGGCTCCACAGCTGACAGTGGCTGAGCCCCAGGTCTCAGTGCTGGAGGGGGCAGAAGCCTGGCTGGAATGTGCTTTCCAGGGTGGAACTCCACCCACCCAGCTCCTCTGGCTGGGACCCCACGGACAGCAGCTGGAGCAGAGCACTTCTGAGTTTGTGCTGCACTCTGAGGGTGCGCAGCTGCGCCTCCAAATCCAAGATGCTGACCCAGCACGCCACAGAGGCACCTACCAATGCATGGCCCGCAATGCCGTGGGTAACAGCAGCCAGAGTGTGCTGCTGGAGGTCCTCAGTGAGTGAGGGGTGGTATGTCTGTGTGGGGGGGGGGGGGAGTGGAAGACCAACAGCCAGCCGTAGAGTGCTTTACAGATAGGCCTAGAAAATCCAGTGTGCACCCTTGAGCACCCTTGGGCCCAGGCAGACCCTCTATAGCATGTATGATCCCAGGTACACTGGTGAAGTCTTGAAGACAGACATACAGAATTCCATGCACTCAGGGTCTGGGGATTTGGCTCAGTGGTTCCGCTGCCTGCCTTGCAAGTGCAAGGGCCAGAGTTTGATCACTGGAACCAAAAAATAAAAACAGAACTCCATACAGTCAGAATCATCTCTTTTTATTCATTTTAGATGAGGAACCTGTGGCTTTTCCGCAATACAGGCTGTCTATGGGAGCAAAGCTAAGTGCATAAGCATATGCAGTCATACAGACAAGTTGCCTTATGTGTGTCTCCCACCCTTTCTCCCATCCAGGGTATCCGGCTCCTCCCAATGTCACCATCAGGCGCCTGATCTACCAGCGGCACCGGAGAGAGGTGCAGCTGCAATGGGCCATCCAGGGCCCCGGTAACCTGACCGGCTTTCTGGTGCAGCAGAGGGCCAGTGTCCCTAGTCCAGGAGCTGGGGATTGGGAGACTGCAGCTAGAGACATTGAGCCAGAGAGCAGGGGCCGACGGCTGGGAGGCTTGGACCCAGGGGTCCTCTATGCCTTCCGCATCCTGGCCCTGAATCACCACACTACTGGACATCCCTCCGAGGTGAAGACACCAGGTGCTGGGCTTAGTGCCAGGGAGAGGCATTTTCCCTAGAGGACTGGACCCTGGCGCATTCTCTTCCCAGGGCATCCTCGCTCCATTCCTTTACTTCCTTCCTGGTGGTTCCCTCAGCCCCGTCTCTGTCCTCTTCTCTGCGTTCTCTTAAGGGATGTCAGGTAATCTCTACTGCTTTTCTCCATCCTTTCCTGGCGGGCTCAAGAGGTGCCACCTGGGATAGAAAAATCAGAACAGGGGAGGAGAAGGTACAGGATGCTGGCCATTACTGAAGGAGTGGAATCCCACTCTGTGCCTCAGTCTCACCTCCCGGGGTAGGAAGGGCTCTAGGCTTCCTGGGGCTTCCTTTCCTTTGTGCCTACTTCCTTTCAGCAGCAAGCAGCCAAAATAAGGAGCTTTCTGCATTCTGTCGTAAAAACAAGGGATTTGGCTGAGGACTTGAGAGCACCTCTTTCCTTGGGAGAGAGCTGATCTCCAGATTCCTGGGGTCCTCCAAATCAGCTGAAGGGAAACTGGACAAGCAGGGAAGTTCCTCCTCATTAAGCCCCTGGAGCCCAAGTTTAGCTGTGGCTCTAAACCATGCCTCCTGTGCTCTTGCCTCTCAGTGGACCCCCACTTCAGCACCTACCCAGCAGTGCTGGGTGCAGCTGGCACGGGAATGGTGGTGGCAATGGTGGCCTCTCTTCTGGTGTTCCGGTATGCCGCCCGGCATCCACAGATTTTCCCTCGTGAGTGGGAATTTGAAGTATAAATCTGGGGTTGCTTGACTCAAGGCAGCCAGATCTAGACTTACCTAAGGAGAACTGAGGCTCTTCCTGAGCTGAGGCCCTCTCCCCAGAGCTACAAGTCATTTTTCAGGGCTTCCGGGCCATCCCCGTTAGCGTTCCTGAGCTCTATCTGCATGAGTCCATTGGGAAGGGAGGGCCATTCCCTGGGATTTGTGTTGGTCAGTAATGCTCCTTCTTTCCTTCCTGTAGGCCTTGGCCAGTGGCTTGTTCCCATGTGAGTGTGGAGACTCGGGCATCCTGGGGTTCAAGACTTTTCTCTAATGAAAAAGGGAAGTTTGGGGAAGCTGCTGCCACTAACTTTACTCTCCCACTTCACCATCAGGGAGCAAAGGCACCAACAGAGGGGTTCACAGGAAGGCAATGAGGCATCAGCAAGTAAGCAGGATTTTATCCTAAAGATTAGTTACCTACTTTGAGACCTGTGCTGAGTTTTGTGCATAATGCTTGATCTGTCTTTTCCTCTGAAGAACAATCTAGAACATCCCCAGGACGTCTCCATTCTTTGCCCACCTATTCCTTTTGTAGGCATTGAAACACCATCCACCACTCCAAATTCAGATCCTGCAGTGGAATCCACTGATGCTCCAGTAAACGTCACCATCACTGTGACTGCAACGCCCTGAAGCCAAAGAGGAAGGTGCACAGCAGCTTCGGGAGGGCAGGTGAGAGGTAGAGATATCCCATCACACTTTAATCTTTAAGACCAAGGTGGCTATGACACCAACTACCCCCTTTCCACTTAATATCCAGACTCTGTAACAGGTGCAAGGGTCCATCTGCAGTGTCCCCAAATGACAAGGTCACAAAAAGCCCTGACCTAGCGTGAGGATGCCACAGGACAAGGAAGACATAACTGGAGTAAAGACTCACTGTGTATCTGAAGGCAAGTGAAAATGATGGTTCTGGGGATCATCTCTTGTGCTACAGAAAAAATGAGCAAGCTACTTCCAAAAAGAAAATTAAAACAACTGTGGAATGAGCAATTCCTAAATAAATCACACCTAATGTTCTCACTAGCAGTGTGTTCAGTTGCAACTAACTCAGGCAGAGGCTGACTGCTGGACCCCATACTGAGTGGCTGGAAGCCACGTGTGTAGCTGTGTGTTCCCTCATTCATGTGCAGCTTAGGAACTTCATGGACCGGGCAGTGGTCAGACACCAGGAGTCTAGGCCAGGCCAGCACCACAAGAGCAGAGGTATTCCAGAAGCGACGCTCAGTCACCAGGCCTGAGGGAACTGGCTGATGGGGCACAGGAGCTGTTCCAAAGTCACAGTCAGCTGCCAGGATGACTCACAGGCTCCAAATGTGTGCGCGCATGCACGCATGGGTATGCACGCGTGATCTGGGTGAAACACAAATGAACGCTTGTTCAACTGGAGGAGAGTCAGGCCTCAGAGCTGCCTCCACAGGGGACACAGATGAGGAGAAAAGTGAGAGCCAAGGGATGATCTGCCAGCGACAGGGAGAGTGGCGCCTGACAGGAGACAGAAAACTGAGGGAAACAAACAGCTTCCTTGGTTCTCACAGATTTAGACTATTAGAAAAAGGGTTTCTGCTTCCTTCAAAGCTCTCAGAATTGGAGCTAGGGTTTAAGGAAAGCTTATTTAAGCATGGGAAATGAGATACAGAAGGGCCACAAATGATTCTCTTGACTTTCTGGTCAGAGATGCTTAGAAACTCATTTTTTAGAGCAGTAAAATAAAGTTTCCTTTGAGGGGTTTTAAATTTCTACCAGAGTTCCTATTCTTAGATGAGGCTCTTGGTTCATGGTAAAAACACTGAGGAGGTCCTCTTCTGTCTTGCCCTGCTTCTCTTCTGCCTTCCTTTCTTCCTTCCCAAGAAATACTGTTACCCTTCAGAGCTCCCTCTGCCTCCACACAGCCCATAAGCCCAGGGTTTTCTGTTTCCTCAAGCACTCGCCCAAGATCCTGCTCCTTCAGGGCCTTGATCACTGCAGCCAGGATGGAAGGGAAAATGCACTGGGATCTTGAGTATCCACAGGAGACTTTCAGGGGGAGAATTTCAGAGTAAGATATCACACCCACTCCCATCCCAAAGCCACTCAGTACAAACCAAGTATCTGAGCACTCACAGGCTAGTCTATATGGAAAGCAGCATTCTTTTAATACAAAATCGTATCAATAAAATAAAACCTGTCCAAGCTACATCATTTAAAATATATACAATTTTAAACATAATATTACAACTTTAAGGAAAATAAAACATATCTTTCAGTATGATACAAAACATGCATCTCAGAGTCACTGCTTTAAAAGAGAGCAACACACGTGAAGCTCAATTCTAAACAGAATTGCATGGCAGTACTGTAGCTGGAATGAGATATATGACATGATCAGCCTGCTTCGAAAGGCTTGGTCTTCAGAGATTCACTCTATAAGAACAAAACCCAACAAGCAATGCTTTCTGAGAAGCCTACTTCAAAAGATATAGAACATTGCAATTTAACTTGCACCCAGTATAGCACGTTACCTGCCCATCAGTGCATAAATAAAAGAAAAATAGCAACAGGAGATGGTGAAATGATGTAACAGGAGCAGGGGAATTCTAATGCTGATGACAAAGAATCACATGGAATTCAAGACCAAGAAGGAACACAAAGAGGCCCAGCCAATTTCATGATCAATGAGCTGAGTGAAGATCAAATTCTCTGGTAGGTGGTGGGGTGGAGGGGCATGAAGGGGAACATAGTGGATTCTGGAAGACAAAGTACTGAGCAAAGCACTCTGCCCAGGTGGACAGAGGGTAGCTTCTCTTGCCAGCTGCACAGCCAGAGCCCCAGAGGCTCTGGGCAAGAGCACATATCACAGGACAGTTCTACGAGTGAACCTTGCTCCAGGCTTCTGGAAAGCAGTATGGAAAAAAGGAAGGAGCACAGATGACTCCAGGTAAACTGGGTTCTAACTCAAGCTCTGTGGCTCCTTGTGTGAACTGGGAGCTTTCGCACCTACGTTGTAGATTTGTTGTGAGGATTAAATGAGATCACAGTAACAAGCACCATGCACAGTGCCCGATACACAGTGGTTCCTCAACATGTTAGTGCTGTCCAATGTCCTCTTACTTCCTGGGGAAGTGATACTTGGTAGGATTGTTTCTAGTGACCACACAGGGCATAAAAGTTCAGATCCTCTCATGCCTAGGGAGAACTGATAACTCCTAAATATAAAGGCTATTATATATATTTATATTTATATATCTCAATATATAAAGGCATTTTTATAAATAAAATACAATGAAAAGGGATAACACTTAAAACAGCGTTACTAATAATATAAATAAAGAAGTCCACAATAAGATTGCCCTAAAGGTAAAAGTCATTTTCTCTTCCTCACGGACAAACCCCATGTTCAAACTCAATCTTTAAAAGCAGTTTCTGACCTAAGGCTCATGCAAATACACCTCTGTTTCATGAATCAAACTAATTGCCCGTGGACATTTACTCCCTAGTTTTTTAAGACTCATATTTTGTGTCCCAGGACTTTGTCCTTTGTCGGCCACAAAGGGGCTGAAGTAGGGGCTGCAGTCATCCCCCTCCAAAGCTCAGCACATCTAAGTAATAATAAGCCTAGTACACTGCAGACATGGACATCTGGAATGTAGAACTTGCTTTTATAGCAACCTAATACTGTAGCTGGCGATGGCCTTATATTTCCTATACTCTAGTGGAAGTAACTCTTGCATAGTGACTGAGCTGAACAGCACATTTTCACTAACAGTTCTATTTATAAAAGATATAGGAATATGTAAGGGAGTACTGATGCATTATACAGACAAGGTGATTAACATAGTATTCTATTCTATTCCACTGCAAGTTCTGGGAAACTAAATTTACTTCATTTATGTTGGAACTTAGTTCTATCTGAAGAGAATATTTTTGTTTCTTTCCCCAAAGGGACACACAATCCAAGAAGGAACAGTGACTCATGCTTTGAAACCCATCAACAGTTTGGGGGGTTTGTTGTTTGTTTGAACATGGAGCAGAAGTCTTCCAAAGGTAGCCGCAATGTCCTTGCCACTCAGGCAGCAGTGACTGTGATGCACAAGCTCTGCTGACCAAAGCTTCAGGTGCTTGTTTACAATTATTGTATTTTGAAAAAACATCAGGAAATTTCCCTCTAAAACCCCTTTTCCTCCAAATTAAGTCTTTCCTGACACTTTGCTATAGTTTGGATCCTGAGTGTCCCTTAAAGGTTAAAAACTTGGTCCCCAGTCGGTGCTCTTGGGAGATGGTAGAAATTAGTGGGAGGTCTTTGGGTCACTGGGGACATGGCCTTGAAGGAGACTGCAGGACCCTAACCTTCCTTTTTCTCTCTCTGCTCCTCAGTTGTGATATAAGCATTTTGCTCCACCACGTGCTCTCACTATAATGTACTGCCTTGCCACAGGCCTAACCAACAAGGCCAGTTGAGCATGGACTAACATTTCTAAAACTGTGAGCCAAAATATACCTGTTCTCTTTATAAGTTAATTTTATCAAGCACTTTGTTACAGTATTGGAAAGTGACTCACATGCACACACTCACATCTTCTAGGTGGGTGCCCATGTCGTAAGTGAGTAAATGACTGCCCTCAGGTGGTATGGCACCATGAGCACCGTGAGACCAAAGCGTTTCTGCCATGACGGGGCCCTGAAGCCCTGTATTTTTTTCTTAAAATGTTTATCTCTCTCTTCAAGCCACTACTTTACACTTTTTTGTTTGTTCCTACTTTTAGGATAAGTCAAAAGGAGCTCCATGAAGACCCTTTGATAAAGTAATGCAGTATTAAAGCAGTGAGATAATAACATATTAATTTTCTCCTCGGCCTTGGATCTTCCTGCAGACTGCAGTAATACAGCCAGACCTTATATTCTCCCAATGACTCTGAGTATCATTAGAGACTCGACACTGCTTGTGCCCATGTGCGGACAAAAAGTCAGCAGGTCACATTAGCACTTTTGTAGAACGTATCCGTATAAAATTCATCAGCCTGATCTGCTATTATAAATATTAAGCCACAACTGTTGTTGATCTGAAAATTATCTCAACATTGAACAGCAATTTTCCATCTGAGAATGTGACTTCAAAACAGCTTGTGCAATTCCCTCCTAGCTGAGTCAGACAGCAGATCATATCCATGGCATGAGGAACCCTTACTGTCACTGAGGGTCTTGGAAAACACGGAATGATCCCTCTGTTCCCCAGATGACAGAAAATCATGCAAAACAAGGCTGTTTCCTACTGAGGGAGAAAGAAGGAATAGGGAAGGGAAATTTTAAGGCATAAATAATATGAGGGCACACATTTCAAGATACATTCACATGAAGTAACTACAAGAAAAATAAATAAATGATTTTCTCTGATTTGAATTGATGTCCTTCACACAATTCACTCCTAGGCCTGTTCTGTGTAGCTACTGCTTGAAGGAAGTAGGAACATGACTTGTATTTGCACATCTTCAGGTTTCTTGGGGCTGCTGAAGGACCCCTGACGAGCTGTCTAAAGGAATACCAGGAGACCACACTGTCGTCTTCCCAGAACAGTCCTCTGAGACAGGTGGCAAAATAAGAGGATTCCAATTTAAGCTTCTGTTCTCCATTTCTAAATGGCCAAGGCTGTCTCCTGAAAAACACAAAGGTTTGGGAGCATTATG